CCCATCTCATCCAACAGCGCTCTAAGATAGACTGCCTCCTTTCCCGCTTCACAAAGTGCTATGTACTCAGATTCCGTGCTCGAAAGGGCGACAGTCTGCTGCTTCTTCGATTCCCAAGCTATTGGATCTCCTGCTAAGAAGAAAACAAGTCCCGTTTGAGATTTTCTATCCGCGAGGTTTCCACCCCAATCAGCGTCGACACAACCATAAAGGGTCTCATTAGTTTTCTCGTAAGTTATTTTCAAACATAAAGTGCCCTTTAGATAGCGGAGGACGCGCTTGGCCGCATTCCAGTGCTGTCTCCTAGGATCATTGCTGAACTGTCCCAAAGCACTAACCGCATAGGCTATATCAGGCCTTGTCGACACTTAAAGATATATTAACGATCCAATCAGTGATTGGTATTCTACCTTTTTTACTGGCTCATTCTCACCCTCTATAGATGAAATCTTTGTTAACTTGGAGTTCGAGTCCATGGGTGTAGAAATCGGCTTGGCCTCCTTCATTCTATATTTCGCCAGAAGTTCTTCAATATATTTCTCTTGTTCTATGGATATTGAGCCATCCTTTTCCGTTTGTATTCTTATACCCAAACAATAATTTATCTTTCCAAGATCTTTTATTTTGAATATCTTCTTCATACTTTCTTTAAAGGATATCAACATGTCTTTTCTTTCAGCTGCAATTATCAAATCATCAACATAGATTGCGACCAGAAGAACTCCTTCTTCTCTTTTAATGTAGACACAGTTATCAGTTTTCATCTGTTCTAGGCCCATTTCTTTTAATACTAAATCGAGCTTTGCATGCCAAGTCATTCCAGCCTGTTTCAGACCATATATAGCCTTCTTTAGTTTACATACCCTTCTTGGATATTTCTTTGACTCGAAATTTTCTGGTTGTGTCATGTAAATTTCTTCTTTGACATCACCATTCAAGAAGGCAGACTGAACATCCATTTGATGGACCAGCAAATCATATTCAACGGCCAAGGCTAAAACTGTTCTGATCGTACTGTGGCGGACAACTGGTGCAAAGGTTTCCTCATAATCAATACCGTATTTTTGGGAATAACCTTTTGCTACAAGTCGAGCCTTATGGCGCTCAAGAGAACCATCACTACTGTACTTTCTCCTGAATACCCATTTGCTTCCAATTACGTTTTGGCCCTTAGGGGGATCAACCAGTTCCCAAGTTTTGTTTTCAATCAATGAATCAAACTCCTCCTTCATTGCTTTCCTCCAAAAATAAGAATCTTTTCCAGACAACGCTTCCTCTGCGTCTTTTGGATCTGGGGAGTACTTCACTTCTGAAAATTCTTGCGTGGATAAATTTGCCGTAGGATATTCCTTTCTTGGTCGGCCAGGTTTTCCCGTTCTAATATACCTTGGTCTTCCTCTTCCTCTCTGCCAGATGACTTCCATTGTTTCTGATGGTTCGCCTAAAAACTCCGAATCAGTTCCGGGCAAAGTGTTTTCATCATCCTGAAGACTTTCCTCCTCCAATGATGTATCTTCCCTTTTCTGTGGTATAGCTTCAATTTGCACCACGTCATTCCTTAAGGTAGAGTTTTCAGATTCGAGGAAACATACATCTCGACTTTTTATCATCATGCCTGTTCCAGGCTTCCATAATCTGTACGCCTTTGATTCGGGAGAATAGCCAACCAGTCGGTATTCTTCACTACGAGGAGCGAATTTTCCTCTTCTCGGACGGTTGTCAACAGCGAAACATCTACATCCAATAATTCTTAAATGAGAAACGGTTGGTTTTCTTCCTGTAAATATTTCATACGGAGTTCGACTTTCATTTGTTCTTGGGCATCTGTTTCTAATGTATGTAGATGTATGCACAAGTTCAGCCCAAAGTGGATCTGGGAGGTTCGCTTGAATTATGAAACATCTAGTCATTTCTACCAGAGTTCTGTTCGCTCTTTCAGCAACTCCATTTTGTTGCGGAGAATATTCAACTGAGAGCTGATGTCTAATTCCTTCCTCCAATAAATATTCTTTAAAATCTGAACTCAAATACTCTGCGGCATTGTCACTTCTGATTGCTTTAATTTTCTTGCCAGTTTGTTTCTCAGCAAATCTTTTAAATACTTTAAATCCTTTGAAAATTTCACTTTTTCGTTTCATAACAAAAGTGAATATCATTCGTGAGAAATCGTCAATGAAAGTTGCGAAGTACAATGCACCGCCATATGACTTTGTTCTCATCGGTCCACATATGTCAGAATGAATAAGTTGCAGTGGCTCTGTTGACTTTGTTAGAGAGACTTCTGGGAATGGTAATCGAGTCTGTTTACCCCTAATACAAGTTTCACAACTTGTTATACTTTTAAATTCACCCTTGGGTAATCCATTGACTAAATTCTCTCTCTGCAATTTCTTAAGGTCATCAAAATTAAGATGACCAAACCTACTATGCCAAATTTCACTGCTATTTCTGTCTATACACATTCTGGTAAATTGTGTTTTTGCATATTTAGTTTGACGCAATATGTAAAGTCCGTTTCTTTTGTAAGCTTCTATGCAAATTTTCCTCAATGGATTCACAATTTCCGCTTTTCCTCTCATAAATTTTACAAAGAATGATTTTTCTGTGCAGGTGCTGACTGAAATCAAATTTCCCTTCAGTCCTGGGACAAACAACACATTTTCTAATTTTAATAAAAATGGTTCACCATGTTCGAAAACCTCCAATTCTACCGTTCCTGTACCTAAAGCTTCTATGCTTTGGTCGTTCGCTAATTTAACGGCTATTGGCTCTGTTTCTCTTAAATTTGAAAATGCTGTTCTTAAGCAGCACATGTGTGCAGTTGCACCGCTATCCAGGCACCACTCGTCAACCTCAAGAATATTTTCATCTCTAATTCCTAGAGAAGCAGCCATTCGCGTATTGTTTCTTTTAGAGTTCCTTTTTGACCAGCAGTCAGCCGCTTTGTGGCCTTTCTTGCCACAGTAATGGCAGTTAAATTTGAACTCCTTCCGATTTGGTGGTTTAGTGGAATTGGTAGTTTTTCTTTCTGGATTTCCAAAAAAGACATTTTGTTCTCCAGACGAAGTTCCCTCCATTTCACGTTGTCTTTGATCTTCTTCTATGATCTTGACCTTTAAAGTTTCAAGTTTTGGGAGCTCATCTCTGGTTTCTATTGCAGTCCTGAATCCTTCGTACGATTCTGGAAGACTACACAACAAGAGTATAACTAAAAAGTCTTCGGGTACTTGAGCCCCAATTTCACCTAGATTGTCCACTAATGAAGTAAATTTACTCAGGTAATCTTTCAAATCATAATTAGGCCTCATTTTCATCTGTATTAGCCTTTTGGTCAGGGAAACTCTCGTCGCAGGTCCTTTTGGTCGATAAACTTCTTCTATCTTTTTCCAGGCCTCCTCGGCAGTCTTGCAGTTCTTAACATGTATTAGTTCTGATGGATTCAAGCTCAATACAATTGTAGCTAGAGCCTTCTGATCCTTATTTTGCCAATTAGAAAACTCTTGGCTACCGGGTTCAGGTTTGATATTGGCTTCATTAACACAATTCCACAGATCACAGTGAATAAGAATCATTTGCATTTGAAGCCTCCATGTCTCAAAGTTTTGCTTATTCAACTTCTTAATTTGATATAGACTGGACATGCTTGATTCTTAATTTCTTAGGCAATCAGTTCTGGGTCCATAACCTGTTGAAAAAATAGGAAGGAGAAGGCCGGGAATCGGCTTTTAAAGATAGAAAGTTTAATAAGTTATGCTCAAATTTTGCATAAAGTTAAAGCAGCTTGCTTTGCATACTCCGTCACGACAATGGTAGAAATAATTTATATACATGGCGGTCAACTGGTCAGAAACAAATAAAAGAAGAGTAGAATGCTGAAATTGATTATTCCAACAACTTCTATATATATAGTACTAATATTTTCATACATAGAGAAATCCTATACTTCTTCTTATTAATAAATCTTTATTTCAAAGTAATTTTTATATATTTATAATTGAAGTTGGTAACCTATACTATATTTTCTTTATTTAAAAAGGCATATATAAGATCGAAATAATATTTATTATTTTGAATATAGAGCAATCCATATTTAAATAACATCCATTAATTTATTCATTATTTTATGAATGCCAACATTTTTCAAGGTATTATAACATATTAATGTGTGTCAATTCTATTAATTAGGAATTTATAAAAATATGAAATATGTCTAATACATAATTGAAGAAATAAGTTAAAATATGATTTTGAATATTTTTAAAATATATAAATATATTGAGAAATTTATTAGATAATGATTTTTAATGTATGAGTAAGGCGTTAAAATTTCAGAAATCTATTCGCTCGATCTAACTTAGTTATTATTTTGGAAATTGAATATTTATCGTTAGTTTTTTTAAATATAATAAAATATCAATATTAAAATAGCGTTCTTAAATTATAATATATTAAAATAATAATTCGAATATTATAAAAATAATTGGGATCATAATATTTCAAATACATTTTATTTTCTGGAGAACATCTATTGTATATTAATTTTTGATATTTTAAATTTAAACTAAATTATTAAAAACAACTTAAATAAAGTAGGTATAGGATTCCATTTCATAAATATTCGCGGAAACTAACGTACTTTTCTATAATATCTCTATTAAATTTTGTTTTTACTTCTAATAACTGAATGGGTCTCATCTTAATTTTGTGAAAATTTCAATTTTAAATTATCCTATTTCAATTATGCCAATATTAATACAATATATTTATGGTATTAAAATCATATATATATATATAAGTCAATGTAGGTATATATATGTTTATAATACAATATAATGCGGCTTATGATTGTAAAACGACATTTGAAAATTATCCCACATGTGTTTCTTTAAAACGAAAAATCAAATTTATTTTTAATGAGAAATAACGATTATTTCTAACCTTAGAGATGAGGTATGAAAGGATGAAATTGTGAAGAGTAATGATAAACGGAAAAATAAAAGTGTCCAGGGATGGGAATCGAACCCACAGTGTTCCGCTTACCGGGCAGATGCCATGTCCACTAGGCTATATAAATTCCGATATTTCGTTTTAAAGAAACACATGCGTGATAATTTTCAAATGTCGTTTTACAATATATATGTTTGTCGGCTATACAAGTCCACAATACGTAGCTAAACAGGCTGAATTTTACAGTATATAGAGTTGAATCTGTAAAAATGTATAGGATATTTTTCAGGCTTCTATCTCAAATATCCTTGGACTCGTTGGCAAATTTCCCTATTTCACTCGCAACCAGCGCCTCACTACGGTAACTGAGAGAAGTAAAGTTGGGGAAGATGGTGAAATCCAGCTGCGGGAGGATGGCCCACGTGGCTATCCCCCACGGCGCGAAGGGGATTGGTGTGTGTGGGAGGTGGAGCAGGACGTTTCACAAGAGTGATATAAGACGTAATAAAGGCGTAGGGGCAAAAAATCACTTTCTATAATAAAATATATCGATTTATGTATATATCAGATTTAAAATATATTCAAATAAAAATCAACATAATACAAATTTCAAATATCATTGGGAAAACTTACACTTTTAAATATATTTTAAGCACACACGGAGTAAAATGCTCTCGGATTAAGCCGAGCGTTTCACGGGTCAATAGTTTAGTATTGAATAAAAAGATATCAGGCACGACTTTCACAAGGGCGATAATTCAAATAAAAGCAATTTTTATTTTACATGCTCTATTTATACAAAAGAAAATTTCTATAATTACTTCTTCAAAATAATCTCTTCCTATATCTATAAATATTTATCATCTTCATCATCATAAATAACGGTTTAAATCATAAATGTTCGGAAAGTCCATTCAAATAATTATGCAGCGTTTTTTCTATTTATTGATCATTGTTGACTTTTTCACCATTCTTATAACTTTTGGGGAATCAAATCAAATTGAAAACAAAATTCTAAAAGGTCGAGGAGGTACAGAGGATGCAATAAAACCTCAATCTTAAAAAATGTGAAATTTGAAGTTGAAGGATTAGTTTTCGCGACAAATGAACATTTGTGAATAACTTAAAATTATAAATCACGAATTTTGTGATCAAATCTTGCTTACTTGAAATGTTCCCTCCCTCCCTTTTGGTTGTTTAAACTCCTGTTATTTTGAATTTTTGATAAATTGAAAATTTGCTCTGATTCCTTGAGTTTCAAATTATCGAAGGTCGACTATATTTAATTGTATAATTATATAATACATATATATTTGAAAATGACAAATATATGTATATATAATGAAGCAAATAAGCACGAATATTTCTTATACACACGTATAAAACAAATATATATATTTCTCTAAAGAGATTTTTGGATATAAATGAATATAATAAATTCATATTATGTATATATATATATATATATATATATATATATATATATATATATATATATATGTTATATAAAAATGTTATTACATTTTTGGATTATAATTTTCTATAAATACTCTGCAAAATTGACCGCCAGAGGTCGCGGCTTTCCCTATATAAACATTAGTTGTTGTTTCCTGTTGGCCGGCTCAAATCTTTTGTAAATATGTAAATAATCTTTTGTTTTCCTTTATTCTATTCGCCTTTAAACATGTAGTAATTTATCAAATCATGTTTTTATGTTCCATAAGCTCAATTAAATCTATTTCTGATCTTAGCTGTTTTTATTTATATTTTCAATATTTATCACGACTGCAAAACAATATCATAATGATCAAACAACTCACTTATACAAAAGCAAAACCTTATCTCAACTATTCAAAATCAACAGCAGAAATCATTTTTTATAATATTTATTTATAATTACTTTTTTATATATATATATTAACAAAAATTATTGTTTTATTTATTTATATATTTAATAAAAGTATATAATATTTTGAAACTCCAATAAACGATTTTTTTTATAAAATAAAAATGTTTGCTTAAATATTACAATTTCTCATATATATAAATATATGAAACACTAGCGTTTTAATTCGTGAAATTATTAATAAATGCATTAATAGCAGTGCTAATTTGCTAAAAAAAGTTAACAAATATTATGTTTGAGACCTTCCAAAAAGATCAGAGTAGAGGAAATATATAAATTTGGGGAATTTTATCTAACGACAAGTAGGTACTTGTCATTTCCAGCTGTCATATCCTATAAATCAGGTGCTCCTAAACCTCTTTGCCCTATGAAATTACTTTTTATATAAAAATATTCAGAGCGAATTTTATAAAATATTAATATATAGACGAAATATAGGAAAATATCATATAATATGCTTTTAACCTTTTCTTTAAAATTAGGTATAATTATTTATATATAAATAAAGGGAAATTAATAAAGGTATATATTAATTATAAACTGAAAAATCGTCATATATACATAGGAAATGAAATATCAATGAATGAATGTTTCTTTTGCGTATAAAAAACAAACGTCTACTGTCCTTACTGTCAAGAAAAAAATATTGGAAGCGCATGGCTTAAAATATTTTTTGTTTATTACTAGTACACGTGGTACGGGTCATGATAATCATGGTAAGTAGAAGAAGGCGACTGCTTTTACTGTAAGTGAACCACATTTCTACACATGTGAAAAGTAGTTCAAGTTTGCACTTACAAATATTCCAGGGCCCCGTTTGGTTACTTGCACTCGCTGGTTGGGTTGGGATTTTGCAAGAATCGGGGGCCATGGAGCACTTTTTTAATTAGAAAAAAATTCCCAATGCGGGAATCGAACCCGAGCTGTAGTGGTCGAAAACCAACGGTTTAGACCAACCTTCCACCGACTTCTTACCGAGCTCTCAGCGGTTTCGCCAATTTAATCTACAAGAACGCTTCTTAGAGCTCTAATATTGTGTACTGGAATATTCTGCTATATATGCTTCACTGAAGGGTGGATTCTAAGAAATCGTATTCAAGCAAAAACTATTTTAATTATATATACACACATATTAAGTTGAACAGTAACATATACATATTGAATTTCAGTTTGTATATGTCAAATTAAAATATATGAATATATTATTACTAATAATATTTATAATAATCATGAATATATTTATATAAATTAATATTAAACAGATCACAAAATCAAATCTCTACTGTGTAATATATTGGATATTATTAGGTTATTATTTTATTCTGTAAATATGAAAATAATATTTTCTGTTAATTAGTTATCAATTATACATTTTCTCAAGTGTAGAAAGGAACTAACAATTAATATTGCCTTTTTTAAACTTGCACATTAGCATTTGATAGATATACGATGTTGTAAAAATAAGCAATCGACAACTAAACTCGTTGAGAGTTTTATTTCTTTCCTTTCAAAATTTGACGATTCGTCTGAATATAGATCTTAATTTTAATTTATTTATTTTCTCTGTAATAGGTGCAAATATTTCAATATCGCTCCTGGTTAATTACTAAGATGAATAAATGAAATATTTCATCCAGATATAGTCAGAGTAAGAAGAAGTAGAACTTCCATGCCGTTTAAAAAGGATAATGTATTTTAAAGTGAACAAAACGTAAGCTTCGAGTATATCGCTCTTCATCTGGCTAAAGGTTAAAACACTAGCATTAAAAAGTGATTACCTTTTAGCTAGTTGATGAGCGGTGTGGTCAAAGCTCGTGTTTATTCCCAAATAATATTGTAAAACGGGGAGAAGCTATCCGAAAAGCCAAGATAATAGAGTAAAGTTGGGGAAAAGGTTGTGGGCATCAGCTGCTCCAGCTGCCATATGTGAGGTACCAAAAACGGCATTCCAGTGTGGGGGGAGGACAACAGGCATGACATCGGAGCGGTCTACAAGACGGTGTAGTCCAGGCTGGACGTGTATAGTGTGGAGCGGAAGGTTCCACAAGAGTGAAATCCACGACGCCAAGGATTCTTCTGACGGGGAGGTTGAGGGCAAGTCCTACTGATTGTATTCCTTTTGTTTTGTGCCACGTACAATAAAGCGCTAACTTTCTCTGAATCACTTCGAACTCACGTGTGTATCTCGGTGAAATCCTAATTAAACAAAGAACACGAACAGCGTATGGGTATAACGTAACAATATAAACGCTATCTATGAGAAAATTTAGGTTAATATTCGTAGCACATAAAGATATCTTTTCAGAAGAAAACTAACTTACACAAATAGAGGCGAAGGAGACATCAAAGAACGTAAATTCTTTTGAATGAACAGACCGTTATTAGCTCAAAAATAATAAATTGAGTCGTATAGTGTATAAGCTAGTTATAAACATTATCCTTGTACTTGACCTTTAAAGATAGTTTGTTCAAATTTTACCAATACACAGGCCTTTTATTATCACTTCTTCACTTTAACTCGTTCAGATAATCCTATGATATTGTAACAAAGTATTCATTGATTTTATTATTTTTATTAACACAGAGTGGTTATTTTTATGATTATATTTTGCTACTCTGTAAATTTACCTCGTGGCCTATCTTTTGTTTACCATTCATAGTTTGTCCTTGCCTGAAATAAATTGTTGTCTCCTCCTGAAGTTTTTTGTCTTCCCTAATTTTCCACATGGCAATTTTGTATCACTTTTATTTTGGAAGTTAAATGGTAAAACGGGAAAAGAGAAATAGAACTATATATTTTCACGACTCTCACCAGGCTCGAAAATCAAATGAAAATCAGTTATTTAGTAATTTAAATGAAATTATAATATACAGAGGCATTTTCATATCAATATAAATAAAGGACTTTTTTCAGTTAAGACAAATTTGCACATTAAGATCCGCCCACCTAGGTTGTTTTTGTTGATTTTTAATTTAGGTAGAAAATAAATGATAAGTGTGATTGATTATCCTTAGTGAATCCCTAAATAACATTCTATTCAACTTGACCTATATAGAAATATGCCTTATTTAAAGAAATAAATGATTATAGAAACGATATACTCAAGAAAATGAACAGCATTTTACGAATTCTCGAAGTATTAGATAAGCCAGGAAATTTATAATTTTAAATATTCAGATTCTAAGAATATTTTCAAATTTGTATATGTGCATGTTTTATT